CCCCCCCCCCCCCATTTTGAAGTTTAGCTTTGACAGTCTTGTTATGTTTACATTTCTTATAATCGTTCTTATATCTATTATTTGGGCAATAAAAAATAGTAGATCAATTTTTAAAAACGAACATCGGATTCGTAATCAGCGACACCAAAAACTCCCGAGTAACGAGTTTCAAGCGATTCCGATCAATTTTTAAAAAAGTCATCCGCCATATTGGATCCGCCATTTTGAATTTTGCAAAACTAACATCCGATTCATAATCAGCGACCCCGAAAACCCCTGAGTAACGAGTTTCAATCCATTAAAACGTTCAGAAGCAACAAAATCAACTTGGTAAACTTCAAAGTCGTTTTTCTCGAAATCTTTTTCTGAGCGTAGGTCCCTTTTAACTTTACGTGTCACATATAATGATTTTTTCGTGTGTAAAATTGACTTTCGCACGGTATTATAGAACATTGGAGTTATACACATCCATATATGGCATCGACACTATTAGGGCTTGTTCGAGTTGTAATCACAACCGCAGTGTTGCGCGAATAATTAAAGTATCACGTTCGGTGTCAATTTCCAGCAACGTTTTATCATTTGCGACGTTGCAACAGTCTTGCAAATTTTAATGAGCGCTGCAGTATTGCCGTGCTTCGAACAGGCCCTTATTAATTTCGATTTTAGGTTCCTAGATATTCGGATTTACTGATAGCATTTTCGTAGATCTCACGAAAATCGAATTTACGTTGGATTCAATATTGGAACCAAGTGAGTGAAGATTAAAGGAATATGTCAAAGTATGGGTGAAACCATTAAGTTTGAGCTTACATTTAATACGGCATTCTTAAATATTTTGAATCACAAAAGGAAGAAAATCGAATGTAAGTCAAAAGATGTTTTTCAATTTAATAAAATAAAAATTCATCGAACAGATAATTTGTATAAGAGAACCCAAGATTGTCACATTTGCCGAGTGGCCGAAACCCTTATATTTGTGTATGTATATTTAAAACTAAAAAAGAAAGCCAAATATTAAAAAAAAAATTTATTTCATATATTTATAATTATACTTGTTTTGTTAAACTAAAAATTAAGTCAATAAAAACGATCATAGAATAAGTCAATGCTACACGGGTATGTATGTAAGTACGTATAAACTAAATTGATGTAATGAGATATAATAAAAAACATAAAATAAAAAATTAAAATAACAATGTCAATTGAGATACAAATTTTTATACATACATATGTGCCTTTCTATACTTTTTATGTCAATACCTTACATTAGTGTTGAATGTAAACATATAAGAAACATTGTTTTACTCGGAATACACGCTGATGTTCATAAATATTTGCCATTTAAATTATTAATAAAGGATCTTGCAATGAAGCTTAACTTGAAAGTTAAGAATCAATATTTCTACCACGAACTATTCAATGCGGCTACATATTCTAAATATTAAAATGCGCTAATATTGCCACAAAGCGCATCGCACTCAAATTGAATTGATTTGTCGAAAAATAGAGAATTTTGGCCACAAATTTTTGAAGTTTCTTATTGTTAAACGGGCTGTCTGCAGTTCTCAAGAAATAATCACAAGACATATTTTTCATTATTTCTGTTGCTTGAAAAAGTATGTATCTACTTTGGTGTTGCCGTAAATTTTCTTGAAGAAATAAATATACGAGCAAGGCATATTGAACAGGTTTGAACAGGTTAGATCAGCTGATTTGATTTTTTTTTTATTATTTGGTCTCCAGATTGTCAAATATTGTTTTTTTTTCTAAATTTTTCATAAAAATTCTAAATTCCCAAAATACATTTTTATGTGAGTTTTTTTCATAAAACGACGAGATTGAACCTTTTGGAACGTTCGCTTGACTCAGGTGAATAAACGCTGATAATTGTGCCTTGGTGCTCCTGGATACAAAAAAAAAAAATACACAGAAAGAATGTTACAAAAATGTTCACATTTTCTGATTGAAATTTTGTTAACTTTTTTATATTTCACTTGGCATACTATGGTAAAAAGACACATAATACCAAGGCACATTGAACAGGTAGTATCGATAGAGCAGCTGATTTGATTTTTTTCTAATTATTTGGTCTCGAAACTTTTAAAATGTTAAAATCTATGCATGTGAAACCATTTTCCATACAAAACAAGCGATCGAATAGCAGCTTTTGGGACTTCGCCCAACTCAGCAGCACAACCGCTGATTACAGATTACAGATTCGAGAAGCAAACAAGTTTACTAAGAAAAAATTATTCCAATTTAGATTTTTTATTTCACACGGTACGCTTTGATTTAGAAGAAAAAAATCAGAACAGGTTTTGACACTTTCGATACCAGAAGCAACAACAAAATACACGCACATGTTGGTTTTGCGCTAATGCTACCTGTTTGATATGCCTTGCATAATAGTTTTTTAACACTTTAGAGACCAGAAGCAACAACTAAATAGACGTAAATGTTATTTTTGCTGTAATCCTACTACCTGTTTAATGTGCCTTGCCAAGGCGCATCTGTGTATGTATGGATACGCCTTGGTGCCTGGTATACGAGCATTTTTTTCTTGAGAGCTGCATACTGATTTAAGAAATTTTGATAGAAGAAAATTACTTTCCCATATCTCGTGCGTAATTTTACCTGAATCTTTCGGTTTTCTTGAGGGCTGCGGAAGGCCCTAAAATCAGAACATAATTTTTAAATGGCTTACAATAAACCGCGATGATCTTCAGTGCAAAATTCAGGTAAATATTCGGGGTATCACTGAATCCTTCGTAGTCCGATTTTTTTTTGAGGCTTTAAGAGTGCAAAGAACTTGCACAAGCTGGTACAAGCGAACACTATTAATGCATATTTTACTTGCGTTCGCCAACCCATTCGCTTTGCCAAACCGTTTGCTTCGCCAAATTCATTCGCTTCGAAAGCGATAATTGAATTCGAACGTAACATGTTCTTTGAATACATACATACGTCCGTAACACTTAGGATACAGTAATCGCAAATAAAATTAGATTGAATAGGATTTGAATATCAAGAAGCTAGTTTACAATGGTATTAATTGAATTGTTTTTATTATTTTTTCTTGTTACAACTACAAACAGTGATAACTACCATAATATAATCATACGAGTTGGTTAATTTTTAAAAGAAAATGTATAATAATAATTTATAAAATACACACTTTTAAGAAAATATATCTATTTATATGTAAGTTCTCTATTCTATTCCATATGCTTTTCGGCTTTTGTATCTCTACAAGCGTTTTCGAGCAGTACGCTTGCGATTACAACACGTACATACATTATCATCATGTATTACTTCGACCAAAAGTCGTAACATCCAATTTATCGCTGGAGCCTGCAGTTCAGCTTAGGCATTCCATATTACGTAAAATATCAAGCAATACAATTAAATTAAATTGTCATTATACCTTGCTTCACTATTTCTGTTCTTTTTCTTTATTTGTTACTTGTTTTAGTATGTTATAGTAATAACTTTTAAATGTTAATTATAAGCGCTTTCAAAATGAATTTCTGGTTTCTTTCTGCTTAGTCCGTCAAATTTATAAAATATATACATATATATGTATACCTATATATATATATCAAATGAAGGAGAGGGGTAAGTTTCTGAAAATATTACAAGTGCGTGTATCTTGTCAAAACGTAAGCACAGCCGCAGCATCTTGAATGACAAGCGCTTCACCCATGGACAAAATCAAAGTCTAATACGGAAGTGTGTAGGCTGCCAAGCAAAAAAGTGACGATAGCAGCAGTTGCCGTTTTCAGCTGTTGAACGGCGACCCATACATTATAAAATCTGTGAAGCAACTTAACAACTATATAAACAGATTTTAAATGTATGCAAAGAGGCGCTGAACAGTAGCATGGTATGTTATATGCTGTACCCTTATTCACAACCAATAACCATACAAATATTTAACTCTCTTGCCCCCGCTCCTCTCCCTCTTCCAATTTTATTTTGATTCTTGATGTATTCTACATACAATAAGTTCATGGTTCTTATTCATATTCCGATACGGGCGCGTTTGGTTCTATTTACTCGTCATAAGTCGCGTAGTACGTCGCAGCACTCATTCATTTTTTTCCTCAGCCTCGTTGTTTGTAGACAAATTCAATGTTGTTTCGAGGCTACCACTCGATTGTCGTGTGTGGCGCGTTGAACGCAATTCACGTCGTTTTTCAGGTGGCTGCTCGTTACCGGAATGGTCGGCGCCCGTTCGTGGTCGTTTTAAACGGCTGGATGAGCGTCGATGTTCCTCATTAGCGGAGGCCACTGCTGCTGCTGCAGCTGCCGCGGCAGACGTCGATGGCGTAGGAGTTGTGTTGACACTGGTAGCACCTCCACCCATATTGGTCGCTACGGCTGCTTCCAAATCCTCTACACTGCCATGGCTACTTGATGCCGCGCTTGGTGCTGCCGATGTCGGGATGTTTTGTGGTTTTTTCAATATTGGTTGTATTATCAATTCGTCTGCTTCCTCATATGGTGGCGGCAATTTAGCTGCATCAGCAGCATTTGTGATGGTCAGAGAAATTCGGGATTCACTACGTTCGGAACGTTCACTGCTGGAACTAGCACCGGAACTTATCGGTGGCGCAATGGTAATGGTGGTCTGTGATGGCAAGTTGGCCGCAATGCCGGCGGAGTTTAATGGTGTTAGTGTGACTTTGTCAGCTTCGGGCATTGTAGCACCACCATTACCACCCATGCCGACATTAACGCCGCGCAAGCTCTTCTCCATGCTGGCCATGCCGCCGCCAAGATTAAGTGGCAACCCGCTGGCCAGCATGGCAGCGGATAATTCGTCTTTAGCGTTTGCTAACGCTGCTGCATGTGAATCCAACCGTGATCGTTTCGATTTGTGATGCTCATCGATTTGGGCGTTAGAAATTGAGTTAGTTACACCGCTGGAGCTCATACTTGAGGTGGGTATTAGAGAGATGCCTGATCCGAGTCCTAATGTTTTTGTATAGTACTCCATTTGTTGTTTAAAGGCATCCTTGGTCAAGGCATCTGGGTCAAGCATATTGCTACTATTGCCTCCGCCACTGCCTCCACGTTGGCGTTTCGAGGAACTCGAAGAGCTGCTGCCACCTATAGATGACGCGCTGCTGGTAGGTGGCATAGTCAAACCCGCCAAGCTTGCCAACGAACCAGGAGCGGTCAAAGCTTGTGCCATATCGGCTATCATCGCTGGTGCAAAGTCACTTGGCAGCCCAAGTATTTGCGGCAATTGTGCAGCTAACGCAGCAGCTGCCGCCTTCGAGGCATTCTTGCTCGTCGAAGCCGACGATGTTGACGCGGACGATGACGTTGAGGTCGATTGGCTTCCACCACTTAGCGAGGCCGGGAATTTGCTTTGCGAGAAGGCCTGTAATGTGGCTAAATCTGTTGGTAACTGACTTCGCGCTAAGCTCTCCATCCATTTTTGCTGCTCTTTGGCGGCTTGCTTCTCCGCCTGAGCGGCTTGCGCTGCAGCAATCGAGGCTGCTGAATTGCTATTGGACGATCGTTTGTCACTAGAAGATAATTGTGGTGCTGTCGCAGTAATAGGTGGTATTCCTAAAGAGCTTAGTAATCGAGTACTTTGTGCAAGGTCCATGCGACTGAGGGACTCAAGCAGATGCGGATCAGTACCCGGTAACAAAAGACTTGAAAGTTGTGCCATTTCAGCTACTTGTGCAGCAGCTCGACTGGCTGCAGACTGACGGCCAGAACTGCGTGACGAAGACTGTGAACTACTTACACTGGTTGTTGGCTGACCAGCTGCTCCAATGCTAGCCATTGCATTCATAAGATTTGCCACTGAAGCAGCTGATGGTGACGATGATGTAGATGCACGCGAATTACTAGATTTCGATTGAGACTGGTGAGACTTCGACTGTGTTGTGGAGGAACTGCCTGCTGATGAAGTAACCCCTGTTCCACCATTCAATAAATTGTACTGTTGCGCCAACTGATCATAAGCTGAGCCAAGCCCTGCTGAGCCTAATGAATATGGATTCAAACCTCCCAAACCCATTGGTGGATAAAGTAACGATGGGTTGGGGAAGAGGTATGGGAAACAGCCTGTCAACTGCGATGCAGCAGCAGCGTTGGCATTTTTATTTGATGAATTTCCAGTACCATTGCCAGTGCTGCCACTGCTTCCTGTGTTGCTTGCCAAAGCACCCAAATTCATCATAGCATTTTGTTGTGCGTCGTTTTTATTTTTCTTACTCGATGAACCACCGGACTGAGAATTTTTTCCAGTACTTGAGCTACCTGGGCTAGGATTCGTGTTACCCAAACCTGCCAACGCTGATCCAGCAGCCATTAATGCGGCCAATGTTTGTGGATCCATAGTGGCCAAATTGCCGAGACCACCCATACTAGCTAAGCTAGCAAACAGGTTCATACTATTCAAATTATTCAGTCCAGGTATGTTGCTCATACCAGGCATTCCAGCAAATGGCATCGATAGAAGCGGATTCTTTGGATCGAAGGCGCCAAGCGCGTTTTTCGGGTCAAACGCACCTAGACTAGGTAAACTGGCCAAGAGATTTGGGTTAAGTCCGGCCAATGATCCAAACTGCATGGCTGCGTTTGCTTGATCGATGGCCGATTGCCGTGAAGACTTCTTGGAAGACACCGTGGGTGATGGGGCAGGGGACGATTGTGCGGATGAGGATTGTTGTTGCTGTGTATGGGCTCCAGATGACGAGCTGCTTGTGGTCGATGAAGGGCGTCCTCCGTGCGTGGTTTTACTTGACAATGCATAATTACTAGTGTCCATGGAACTTAGTTTTGGAGAGGGAATAGACATTGGGTTTTGGATTTGTTCCAGCCATTTTGGATCAACTTCGTAGGCAGGATTTTCAGTTAACCTAGTTTGAGACAAATAAAAAGAAATAATATTTTAGATTATTTCCAAGCAAAAAAACATTCACCATACCACTGCATGAGACGTTTTAGTTGTGGGGCTTTACTGCCAGAAATACGTTTGCCGGTTTGCTTATTGACCACAGGCACCGGCTCTTCGCCAGTGAGTCCCTGTGGACCAGCCATTGCCGGCTGTTGTTGCTGCTGTTGATGATGCGCATGTGATTGCTGCGCTGACTGTCCGGCTGCAGCTTTGTTCAATTGAGAGACAGATGATTGATGTCCTGAGTTACTACTTTGCTGGCGATTCGAGCGTCTATTATTTGTGTTGCTACTGGTACTTGCCACTGGGCTAAAATCCATATTGAGTTGATCTGAAAGTGGTGTGCTCATGTCCGTCAGCCACTTATTGACTTTCAAGTCTGGTACATTATATTTAGCGCTGTAAGATGAGAAAAAGCTATATCAAATAGTTCGGAGTTCTAATATAAGTACGGTGACCATTCGTACCGATTTTGGCGGGACAGTACCGATTATGAGAAAATTGTCCCGCTGCATATCTTTTAAAAGTCGGGACGTATAAGTGTCCCGATTTTTCATATTTGTACTGAGTCTTCTTGTACTCTGGACCAAAAACAATTTTTCGTACAAACGTGCCAGGACTTTCGTTATCACATAGAACATAGAATATAGGGGAGCCACAAACATAGACAGCATCCAAAGGTAGTAGCAGCAGGGCTGCAGTTTTGACTTTTTTCTATTTCGTGAAAAATTTGAACTGTCAAACTTTGCTACAATCATATACACATTCACATTCACATACATGAGCATCCTTTTTGATTGCTTTTTGATTGGTCGAACGTGTTTAGATTTCTTTCTGTTCTGACATTCTAGGTTTCTCAAGCAACAACAAATTACATGGCAGGGTTGTGTTTGCTCTACTGCTATTAGCTGTTTAATATGCCTTGCCAGCATCCTTATTTTTTATGATTTTTGATTATGCTTTACTCTGTCAAACTGGTACTCTCACTATATTGCGGTCATCATTCTCGCCAATTTTTTTTAAGGTTTTTACTATTATTTGTTAGGTTTTTTTTTATGAAACGATTCTAACGAGAGTTTAAAGAAATTATAAAAAATAGTACTGATTCCCTCAAAAAATTCATGGATTTGAAAAATATAAGCTGTAGATACAGTGGCAAGAATATATGTATGTAAATAGGGAAGAGACATTTTAGCATTCTTTGTTGTGTAGCTCGTTATATAACAAAATCCATGTAAATCGAACTTTGCACAAAAATTTGCCAAATCTCAGAAAGTTTCATAAAAATTTTGATCTATTTATTTACATTTCAACATTCGAATCATTCGACTAGATGCATATCTACTTTGTAGCCCATTTAATTTTACGAAGTACAAATTTTAAGTAGCCTTCCGTGATTTTTGGAATAATTTTTTTCTTGCCGAAGAACATCTTCATTCATTTTCTCCATACAAAAAAAAATTTCGAACATACTTTGTATGTAAGAAAATGTACGAACAAAAAATTGCCAAAAATCAACGGTTAGTCCAAGCTTCTTCAAACTTGCAGTTTGTTATACTTGCACTTTGTTGCACTGAGTTAAAAAGCTGAATAAAAAAGTCTAAAATTTTGATCAAAATTTGTTATAATTCGTCGAATATTTTGTAATGTTCT